CAGGAACATGTGGGGAACACGACAAGAATATGTGGGGAACATGACAGGAACATGTCTGTGTTTCAGTTCAGGTCTGAAAACACCTGAACTGAGGTGAAAACATTCCCCCGTCCTCTCGTCCCTCTAGAAAGGAAACCTGGAGAGAACTCAGGAGTTTTTCCAGAAGCAGTCATTGGAGCTGCAGGGTCAGGCCGAGTGGCGGGATTGGTTCATCCTGCCGTTTATCCCCGCCCCTGAGCAGAACCCCGCCTTCTCTCCGTACTTCTCCCGCCAATGGGCCGACACCTTCCTGGTGTCTCTGCACAACTTCCTGTCCGTCCTGTTCCAGTGTCTTCATATCCTTCAGCTGTGGACGTTTGATTGTGTGTCGATGATCCTCTGTGTTTCAATGAAACTTTATTGGTTTCCAGTCTTTGACTGTTTCCACCTCAGCCTGTTCTGCTGAGTTTTGACGCTGAAGTCCAGAAGATGACGAGTGTGACCGAAGAGAACGAGCGGCTCCGACAGCAGGTGAGAAGAGAAGAGTGAGATCTGAACCATGATTGGTTCTTCTAGTGATTTGTGTGCTTTGGTGCTGGCGGTCTAACGTTTTGTCGCCGTGTCTCGTCCAGCTGTTTGCTCTGCAGACGGAGAGCCGGGACCAGAGGGACGGAGACGAGATGGTTCATCACAAACTGCCGGCATACGTCCAGAACATGGACCGACTGGGAGACACTGAGCTGTGAGACATTAACATCACTGTCTTTACTGACTACAACTAAGATGGCTGCCACTCTGTTTTATGTCACATGACGAGACGAAGCCTCCAACCAAGTTATTTATTGGACGAGGAGCCGATGTTTTGATCACATGTTCTTACTGCGTCTGTGCATCCAAGATGGCTGCCATGCTTCAAACCTAACGAAGTTAAATAAAGTTCTGTGAAGTTACGTGAAAAATAAAAGCTGTTAGTGAGTGTTGGGAGTTACAGATGGCAGCCATCTTTAATCTTTATCTTTTAATCTGATCTGAAATCAGTTTCATGTTTTTTATTT